ATATGTGATTACTCTAGTTGACTGGTTAGTGGTTAGTGGGCAAACAATAATTTGGGGATTTTCATTGCAAAATTTGTTCGCCCAAAATTACTGTTTTGGTTCCCACGGTGAGTGGTCCTTTTATTGGCTCTATAAATTCCCAACAAAGGTCAGATTCTCTGCCCACGTTCATACTTGTAAGAGAAACAAAAAAAAATAAAAATAAAATAAAAATCTCTCTCAAATCATCTCTTCAAAGCTTCAAACATTCAATTTCAGTTTGTGCTAAAATGGCCATATGGGTTCTTTTTCACCTTCTTCTCTTCCTTGTATTGGAGCCCACAGATGCAAATTTAGAAGGTTTGATTGTACATTAAATATGGACTTTTTACTTTTTTTTTGGGCGTTTTGCAACTGTTTTGAAATGAATTTTGGTTAACAGGGGATGCTCTTTTTGCACTGAGGAGAGAAGTTCATGACCCGAATAATATTTTACAAAGCTGGGATCCGACACTTGTGGATCCATTGCAATGTATATAAGAATTGTGAGAATTGATTGTTCTATTAGAAAGATATGGCACACAAACTTATTGTGAGAATTGATTGTTCTATTAGAAAGATATGTCTTCGTAGAGTGATGAGTGCTGTTGTTGTGCAGAACAATTACTGTAATAATTTCCTCTTGTAATGGCAGATTGACTGGGGTGAAATTTCCTGCAAGTGGTTGATAAAATTTAACCAGAAAACATGATGTTCTTGTGTCCATTAATCTGATTCTTTGTTGATTTTATAACCCGTGTGTACTTGGTTATTTTTTTAATCAATTGTAATTGAAAAATGAATTGGGACATTTGCAGATTATGGAACGATTTTTTCAACCAAAACGAAAATCCTAACCCAATTCTTCTACTTCTAGTTGTGCATCTAGTCCCGCCACTAATTCTAGTCGAGCACAAGAGTTATTGAATAACACAAAGAAGTCTCAGGCTCAATTTAATGTGGATGATCTTGTATCTGATCCAGGGATACACCCCCTATTGAGTCGTATGATCCCAATATTAGAGATGATGTTAGGATGGCATACTTGGAGAAGGGTCATTGTCAACCATATGGACATAATTTTCCAAGAAGACCGATGGGGAATGATAATAGATATTTTCGAAAAGAATGGTTCTTCGAATTTCATTGGTTGGAATACAATATAGAAAAGGATGCGGCGTATTGTTTGCATTGCTACTTGTTCAAACCCGATAGAAGGGGTCAAAGGGGTGGCCATATATTTACTAAGACCGGTTTTAGGGATTGGAAGCACAAAAAGACATTGAAAGATCATGTCGGTCTCTTTGATAGTGCTCATAATCAAGCTTTTGCAAAGTATACCAACTTTATGAATCAAAAGCAAAGTATCTCCTATGTTATGTCTAGCCAAAGTAGTAGTCAACAACAAAGTTATAGGACCAGGTTGAATGTGGTGCTAGATTGTACTAGATTCCTCTTGATTCAAGGATTGTCATTTTGTGGTCATGATGAATCGAAAGAGTCTCTTAATAGAGGAAATCTAATTGAGTTACTGAACTGGTTTGCAGCTCGTTGTAAAGAAATTAAAGAAGTATTATTTAGTAATGCTCCTGGAAATGACCAAATGACTTCACCAACCATCCAAAATGATTTGATTAATTGTTGTGCCGTAGAAACGACAAGAGCTATTATCAATGAGATAGGTGATTCTTTGTTTTCAATTTTGGTTGATGAGGCTCGTGATAATTCTATGAAAGAACAAATGACAGTTGTTTTTTGTTGATAAAAGTGGGCAAGTGAAGGAGCGGTTTTTGGGTATGTCCCATGTCACTAATACTTGTGCCCAATCACTGAAAGATGCCATTGATGCAATGTTTTCTACACATGGGTTGAGCATATCTAGCCTGAGAGGTCAAAGCAATGATGGAGCAAGTAATATGTCAGGTGAGTTCAAAGGGTTGAAAGCTTTAATTTTAAGAGAGAACCCACGTGCTATATATGTTCATTGCTTTGCTCACCAGCTTCAGTTGGCAATTGTATCTGTCGCACGTTGAAATTGTATGCTTGGTGATTTGTTTGATGTATTTGCTATTATTGTGAATTTGGTTGGTGCATCATGTAAGCGTGTAGATGCTCTTCAAACAAGTTATCAAGCTAATATTCTGGAGAAACTTAATATTGGGGAACTTACTGGTGGAAGTGGTCAGTTTCAAAAAATGAGTTTAGTATGCCTAGGTGATACTAGGTGGGGTCACATCTACTGACAATTACTCGTTTCATTAATATGTTTAATGCTATCATAGATGTTCTTGAAAATATATTAGAAGATGACGTACATTCAGATAAAAAATCTTCGATCGTTAGACAGATGAACGCTATGCAAGATTTTGAGTTTGTGTTCAGTCTCCACTTCATGTTTGAAATTCTTGCAATTACAGACGACATTTCACAAGCCTTACAGAAAAAGGATCAGGATATTCGGAATGCAATGAGATTATTAAATTTGTGTAAGTGTGCATTGCAAAACCTGAGAGAGAATAGTTGGGATACTTTGTTGAGTAGGGTGATTGAGTTTTGTGTTGATAGACATATTTTAGTGCCTAATATGAAGGATATTGTAGTAGCGAAAGGTCTATCTAGGCGTGTAGCTCAACAGGTGACTTATTTGCATCGCTTTTATGTTGATTTGTATTGTCATGCGATAGATTCAATTTTGCAAGAGTTGAATGATCGTTTTCTAGAAACAACTACTGAGCTCTTTACTTGCATTTCATGTTTAAGTCCAATAGATTTATTTGCAGCTTTTGATAAGAATAAATTGCAACGTCTTGCTCAATTCTATCATTTGGACTTCAATAGTGAAGAGCTTTTATTACTTAGACCTCAGCTTGATAAGTTTCTTTTGCTTGTGAGAATGGACGAAGCTTTCTTTAATCTCAATAGCATATCTTGTGTAGCTCAAAACTTGGTTGAAACTGGAAGTTCCTGTTATTTTCTATTGGTTTATAGGCTGCTCACCTTGGCATTGATATTACCTGCGACAAATGCAAGTGTTGAAAGGGTATTTTCTGCTATGAATCTAATCAATACGCAACAAAATGGGAGATAACTGGTTGAATGACAATTTGGTGATTTACGTGGAGTAAGCTATTTTTAAAAAACTTAAGAATGAGGCAATATTGCAATGTTTTCAAATCATTAGACCCCGTAGAATACAGTTGTCTAAGTTTACATTTACAGAGTAATTGAGTAAAGTTGTATCGTATTTTTTTTTTTTTTTACTATTTTGGGTTGTATTGAAGTATATTTTCATATGTATACGATTTTGACGTTTTAGTTCATTTACATATATATTGAATAATTTTTAATATTATATAACTAATTTTATTAAACGATCGGACTATTACGATCGTCGACGGTCAACGGTAAACCCGTCCTAGTCCGATCCTCGACGGTCAATAGTCAACGGTCAACCCGCCCTAGCTGGACTTCGATCCTATATTCGCCGCTGTTTGCATCACGGTTGATTAAAACTGGTA